GGGGGGGGGGGGGGGTTGTGGTCTTACTTGTTTTGTAATGGATGCTTGATGTACGCTTCAGGACTCACAACCTTTTGAATGGTTGTTTCGCATTTTTCCTTTTCTGGATTTGTAGGAACTGAAGTTGACACCTAGGAAACAACAAAAAAATACGTTTAGAGAAATATCAAAAACTGTTGCGTTATTGTTGTTTTTTCCAGAGCACTGTTATTCTTTATGTAATCCTCTGACTTGTAGTTTTGTAGTCACATTTTAACTTCTAAAAAACATTTTTTTATGGTCATAGCTGTGATACTTTGAGTAGGTGTGAGGGAGGTGAAAGTGGACTGTAGACTGATATGAGACTAACTCTCATGTCTCATGTCTGCATTTGTATTAAAGGGCTTTGGCAGTTAAAGTCCTGAACAATTATTACTATTATTTAACATATAACTTTACCAAAATGTGGCCACCACCTTCCACATACCAAATGTAAACAGTGACACCCAATAATCCAAAACCAACCATCCTCAGTCAGTCACATAATATTCATCCAGGTACAATGAACTTAAACCATGGAGGTGGCATTTATTAGTAGTGTACCTTTGTAGCTTACTTAAATAAGCTCTGAGGTTACAATTTAACAACAGTTGGCTCTTGTGTCTCCATTTTGTCCAGTACTCGTTAACGTTACCGACCTGCGCTTCCTCTCATTCATCCAAGAGTTTCTCTCAGAGTGAGTTACGTTACCGACTAAACCCTCTCCTGTTACACGGTTTCCCGCTCCAACACACCTGACTCACAAAGGCTCGTCGGCCACCTCTGCGGGACACCGATAACGAGCCATTCATTTGAATCAGGTGTGTTGAGGAGGGAAACATCTAAAACATGCAGTGAAGCGGGTCCCCAGGGTTGACAGTATCCACTCCGTAAACACGGCGTTTTACCGGGCGTCAGTCCCCCGCGTTGACTACACTTGTTGTTGTTTTTATTAACACAGACGGTAATATATTATATATGTATATATATAACCTTAAATGAAAAGCGACTAACGTCAGTGTTAATCGAGAGTGCCGCTAACTTAATGTTGTTTGGCTAGCGGGTTCTGTTACCTGCCAAATGTGATGACAGGAAGTTCAGAGAAACGTCGTTGTCTTTTCTCACTGGGGTTTTAACAGTGGATAAAAACACTGCCTGCAGAGTCAAAGCCTCAAGCTCGGAGACTTAGCTACGAGTGTGTTGCAGTACACTCACCACCAGAGCGGTCGCCATCTTCTGGAAATCACATCCAGTTTTTTTGGCGTGTGTTAAAATAGCTGATTGGGCCATCTGGTACTCCACATCGCGCATGCGCAAGGGGGAAAAAGTACACGTTGATCCAGGGTTTGGGACACATCATCTCTGAATTATTAATGTGTATAATGGGTAGATTATAAATACAGCCTACATTTATGAGGTAGTGTTCTTCTTTAACTGGCTTTGAGGTAATAAGAATAAATTGGACAAGGTATATTACTGAAATTGTGCATTAGATGTACTTCAATAGTATAATACTTGACTTTTTTCTGGTTCACATAATATACTGGTGAACCATGAAAGGCAAGAGATTATCAGTGAAAACGCCATGCACACAGAACAGTAAGTGAGTGAATTTGTCAGGATGATTTAGTCAGACAGGTGTTTCCAAAGAGTGTTTAAGCAGAAAAATAGACTTTTCCAGTCTGAATCACCCGTCTTTTCGCCTTATTGCTGGTGGTTAGATTGCATTTCTCTTAATAAGAAGCACAGTCTCAAAGGTAATCACAGTACATCCATTCAAAAAGCTATATCATTTTGTTAGATGCACACCAATGAGATTATAAAGATTCACTAAATTCCACTACATGTCACACAACCTGTGGCAGTTTACTTATATATATTTTGTGCAACTGCTTGTCCTGGATTGCACATACTGTGTAGTATGTTAGCTGCATGTAGGAGACTAGTGTGGGGTGCAGGCAACACAAACAAATATTAACAAATGAGAGATGATGATTAATGCACTTTACTTTACTTTACTTTGGGGTAATACGGCAAAAACATACCATAAACTCAAGGGTAATTCTGTTGTTGCAGGCTTAGTGTATTGTACCTGTAAATATTACCCATGTATTGTACAATGTGCAGGCTTGGCAGAAATGTGCACCGATGAACATGTTTCTCTGGGTGATAAAGAGTTGTGGAGTTGAATGGCAAATTGTGTGATTAATACATTTATCTTTTATTCTGGATGAAGCTTATCATCCTATTAGCCTGTGATATGCTCTCTCCGCCTCTGATGACCTTACCAAAAGTCCATGTAATTACAATATATACTTTGAGTATATATAAATGTATACTGTACCTATTAAGTAATATAATTAAATTGTGTTTTATTGCTATGAAGTCTTGGAAGAGGAATAAACAGGACTGAAAGGGACTCATTTCTGAACATTTTAATGTCAATTTTTGTTTCAAACGGGTAATCTGCTGTTAGTAAAATCTATGTTCTAATACTGAAAGTTATTTCATCAAAACAACTTAACAAGTGCAGAGAATTACATTAAGTGCTGCAACTATGGAAGGAGATTGTTTAAAGGCCGGACGTGAAGGATGTCAATGTTTTTGGCACTTCAGAAGGTCAGCACTGTGCGGATACTGCAATGAGAGAAAAACAAATTAAGTAAGGATAAAAAAATAAAATACACTACAGTCGAACAAAGAAAACTGCAGCAAACAAAATTTAATGCACTGGCTAAATGCATAAATGAACTCTTCTTCGCACCTCTTTCCAGCATGCATGAGGTCAAATCCCTCATTGATCTTCTCAAAGGGCAGCGTGTGGGTCACAAACTCATCCACCTTTAGCTTCTTATTCATGTAGTCTTCCACCAGTTTAGGAACGCTCTCCACACTCTTCCACCCTGGGGGTGTAAATCATTTTTCATTTAGCCACAACATAACTGAATAATAAAAGATACCACTACAAATACATACATTTTAATGAAAAAACAATTCGCTATCTTTGCAAATTATTAAAAGAAAGGTTTGAGCTACAGTTTAAACTCAGCCTAAGTCATAACACTTTTACCTAATAAAGTGGATGCCAAAAAAGCCTAATTAGCCATAATTAAAATGGAAATATGCAAAAGGTTTTGAACCCACAGAAATTTGGACCTGCAGCCAGACCACATTATGCCCTTTATGACAAGTAATTTTCTAACACAGTCATTCACCTCCAAAGGCTGTGCCCCTCCACACTCGGCCTGTCACCAGCTGGAATGGTCTGGTCGAGATCTCCTGTCCAGCTCCGGCTACACCAATGATGACACTTTCACCCCATCCTTTGTGGCATGCCTCCAGAGCAGCTCTCTGAAATAATAACATGCCAATTTTCCTGTTTTTTATGACTTGCCAAATTATGGAAACTGTTTAGTATGCTGCGTGTGCTACCTGTTGAGCACACTGAACAATATGTATGCACGGGCGCCACTATGTTCATCTACCAACCGACCACGATGATAAATGAACAAAATTAATTTACGACAATGTTTTATATGCTGCTTCAAAATACAATTTGATAAGTCTCACCATGATTTGCACATTGCCAATGCACTCAAAAGAATAGTCCACACCCCCGTCAGTCATCTCTACCAGAACCTCCTGGATGGGCTTGCTGTGGTCCTTCGGGTTCACACATTCAGTGGCTCCAAACTCCTTGGCTTTCTCAAACTTTGAAGGGTTGATGTCTACACCAATGATCCTCGTTGCTCCGGCAACCTTGCAACCCATAATAACAGCCAGGCCAACAGCTCCAAGGCCAAATACAGCACATGTGGAACCAGGCTCTACCTGAGTGCGCATGAGGAACAATAGTAGTATTACTGAATAATTTTGCATATAGCAAATCTACTTATGCACTTTAAAATTGTTTTGGCATCGTCACTTTTAATGATACAAATGGATTTTCTAGTATTTGATATTGCAATTTCTCTCTTTTTAATGTATGCAAGTACCAGGGATTAAAAAAATAAGGTGACAAAAACTTCACATCGTAACTATGAGGTACTATGTCAACCTCTGTAAAGACGCCAATAAATGTTTTTTAATTTTCTGCCACTATGAAAAACAACAGCAACAACTTGGAAACAGAGACCCCTTGGCAACAAATCTGCATGATTAATAGGGGTGACCCACTTCAGAGTGAAACCTGCAAACAATGACAAACAATGCTGTCCCTTGGGGCGACATACTTGTTATGCATAACGAGCTTTGAACAATGGCGGTTATCTCACTTCAGAAATAAACTCATGTGCAAATGCTTCTTTTTTGTAAGCAGCCAGTTCTACAGCGTAACATGGCCTACAGCCTGTGATACCCACCTTGGCAGTATTAAGAGCAGCACCGTAACCTGTAGAAATTCCACAACCAAGAAGGCACACTTTATCCAGTGGAGCTTTCTCGTTCACCTTAGCCAGAGAGATGTCAGCCACTACAGTGTACTCCGAGAAGGTGCTGGTCCCCATGAAGTGAAACACTTGCTTTCCCTTGCAAGTGAAGCGTGAGGTCTTGTCAGGGAGCAGGCCCTGGCCCTGGGTTACTCTGCAGGGTGGAAGCACAGGGAAGAGATGATTTCTTTTCATGTGTGATGAAACTCAATCGCTGTGTACTTCAGTGCAGGGCTGGCGGAAGCTAAAAAGGATGATGACGGAGCTTTGATTTGGTTACCCCTGGGGTGTAAGTGCCTGAGGCTGTGAGTTCAACTATTGAGGTCATGCAGAAATAAAATAAAAATTTAATTTCTGTACTATTTCTAAAAAAAGTCTTCACCAACTTGAGCTTGGTAAAAATCAGTCTTACCTAATTTTCTGGCAAAGGTTGGTCTTGGGATTTTTGCAGAATTTGCATTCACCACACTGCGGCACGTACAACGGGACGACAGTATCACCTTGGTGAAAAAGAATTGTGAATAATTAGAAATCATACTTATTCACAACAGCACACTACAGTTTGAATTTCAGCGTCTTGTCTGAAAGCATCCGTACCTGGCTTGAATTTGGTGACACCCTCGCCAACGCTCTCAACCGTCCCTGCGCCCTCGTGGCCCAAGATGACAGGGAAAAGTCCCTCGGGGTCACTGCCGCTCAGAGTGTAGGCATCTGTATGACACACCCCTGTAGCAAAGACCTGACAGGTACAGTGTCATTTAAAGAGCGTGTCAGACACAGCTGCTAGGTATATGCAGGAGTGGAATATACAAAGATTTTAGGCTTGATATTAGCATTATTCAAATTCCCTCATGTCTAATTAAAGCATTCCTCAAAATCATGCAAGTCTATCTTTGATGCTTAAAACTTCTTATGCTGATAAAATAGGGCCCTAAAAAAAGAGCCTCCTCTCCGAGCTGGTCTTTGAATGCTTTACACAGGACTCTTAATCATTTGCATTCATTTCTTGTCCTGTTGTTAGGCATGGAAAAGTGGCACGCAATGATGTTTGCTTTACCTTGATGCGGACTTCATGGGCCTTAGGTGGGGCCACCTCAACCTCTTCTATGGTAAGAGGCTTCCCCGGTTCCCAGGCAACAGCTGCCTTGCAGGTTATCACCTGAAAGTGCAGTATGTTTTTAGTTTTTTTAAACAAGCTTCTACAATGAATTGAGTAATTACAGCCACGGGTTTCCTGAGGCTTTGCAGTGTCTGTGGCAGGTCGAGCAAGTTGCACAGTAGTCGCCCTTTGAACTCTATCCAAGCTTATGCAAAGCCAACCCAGTTCCAGTGGGTTAAATAGTTCACTGTTGTTCTAATACATAGTTTCTCCACCTTCCTCATATCTCTAATGCTGGATGGGTTTACCGTTCACCAAAATGAGTGTTCACCGTTTTCTTTACGACTATCTTTCGGTACACGCTTTGCAGCAACTTGCAAATTCCAGCTGTGTGTGACTGGCCCAAGCTGCCCGTTAAGTAATGAGACAGTGATTCTTTGTACTCTGTTCATTGAGCGCATGTGAATGCGTGCACGTTGGAGGAGAGAGAGGACGTTGTTTAGTGCTACAGGGGACATTAACGCCACCGTTACGACACATAATAAATCATGCATTTGAAGTATTTCTTGCGCATTTTGTGGGGAAAGTACTTACTTTCCCAGCTGTCTCCATGTTCGGTGCTTCGGCACGAGAGGGCGGGACGATGGGCGGCCGTAAAGGAGTTAACGTCTGGACCAATCAGAAACGAGAACGCGCAGGCTACGCGTGACGTAGAGCCGGCGGAGACATAAAAAACCCTCTCCAGATTCAGATGAACCCAAATGTCTCATATGAAGGCCCAGGACAGCTTCACTAATGTTCTGGATATATACTAATAATGTTCTTAACGGTTCAAATAGCGGATATAACACAATGTTAAAGTAACAGCGAGTTCTCAGTCTTGGAAATAGTAGTTAAAAAAAACTAAATGACAACTGAGCCAACACCGTCGACTGAGATGTGTTTGAGTGCTGTGGAACAAAAAACCCCACCAGATTTAGTCTTAATTTCTGAATATACTGTATGTTAATGACTTGTTTAAAAAGTATAATATAATAATAATGTATTGTATCCCATAAAGGAGTGAAAAAGCCTGGTCAAACATTTTTTAAATTATGTCTAGTCCCTCTCCCTCATTGATATTTGCAGAATATATACGGCAGGTAAAATAAGTATTGAACA